CCACGATGCAGTAAACAAAGGCTGTAAGACCAAGTCCCACCACGATGCAGTAAACAAAGGCTGTAAAGACCAAATCCTACCATGCTGCAGTAAACAAAGGCTGTAACACCATGTCCCATCATGATGAAGTAAACAAAAGCTGTAACACCATGACCCATCATGATGCAGTAAACAAAGGCTGTAAGACCAAGTCCCACCATGATATAGTAAAGAAAGGCTGTAAGACCAAGTACCACCATGCCTGTTGAAATATATCACCACAGCTGAAGTGTCTGTGAGTACCAGAACGTAGCAGTCCAAACATCTAACAGAATGGCACAAGAATGAGCTATCTGACAAGACTACAGACCCTAAAAATAACAGAGAAGGGCATCAGTGAAAAAATCCAGATTTGGAGAAGGTGGAAGAAAAGTAGTTATAACAGTAAAACACATGGTATCTTGAGTTATTGAATACGTATAAGTCGAGAAATGAATTTGTGAATATTCCATTCCAGAGAAAAAGCTAATTGAGAGGTCAATTCAGTGTGAGGCAACAACTGAGCAAGAATCCTTTAGTTATCTATGTAATGATGAACGAAGAAGACCAGCTAACGGTGTGATTACATGTGTGAATATATATAGTGCCAAAATCAGATTAAAAAGTCATGAATGGATAAGTCACTCCATCATGTGAAAAATTAAGATGAGTGTATCAGTATATGTAAATAAGTATCATTTGAAATATCCATTCATAATACAAAAACCATGATGAAGGGGTTTTAAAAAGATTCACACAGGTTCCACCTAGAAAGGAAGAATATGTAGACAAAAAATGAGATAGGAAAGTCTTAAGTCCCTTCTCCAGTCCCCTGTTGTGGCACTAGAAAAAGATGAGACTAAAAACAATGCAACTTTCCCTTTGTTGTGGGAAAGGGTCAAAATTGAAAGATTTAATATTGAATAGCAACTGAAAAATTAAATTTAGATGATGAATAGAAAATTTAAGAAAAGTCTGATGATCCCAAGGAACATGAAGAAAAGGGTACATAGATTAAAAACAAAATTTAAGATAACCACCAAATGTCTGGACAGTGGAGTCATCCAGAATAGAGCCAGTGAGTAAGTCATACAGACCCATCTTACTAACGTTGATGCTAGACCACATTAAAATTGTGAGTAGATATACTGAGCATTGAAAAACATTACATAAAGGACACTAGAATGAAAGGAAGTATGACCAGAAGCAAAATGAGATGCTCAAACCCTAAACATTTGCTGCTGGAGAGCTTCCCCTGAACAGAAACAAATTAAAGTGAAACACTTGCAAGTACAAAAACTAAGTAATTCTTTTTGTAATATGTGTGGACATCTATATATATACATACATACATACATATATAGGTCAGAAACTTGACTATAGATCAAAGCAAAGTAGAATATCCCCTTCCCTCGAATAACCAGACTATACATTAAAAACTTGAGAAAGAAGAGGAGAATGGGAATAAGTAAATGAATACAGAGCTAGTTTCTAAAAATGTCCACAAATCCTTCAAAGCATGGGAGAAATAAAAGATTTAAGTACAGAAACCATCTCACATGACACAAGTACCCTCAGACAAACTGAAATATACTCAATATGGAAAATATAAAACACACCTGAGAGAAAAAAAGATGTGAACCAACATAAGTGTCATTAGGTTTAGGACTAACCCCATACCAGACAAAATCAGTTGTGTGACACTGAAGACAACGAGGTCTGAGCAAAAAAGTTGATTTTCATCAAACAAGAAAAAAAAAAATGGTGAGCATTATACAAATTAAGCATCCACACGACTGCTATACCTGCCACGAACATCAGTATACAGACATAAAACATGTTGAACAATAAGTACAGACAATTCATCAACTATGTAACCCAGCAAACTATAAGAAAAATGCTTAGAAAAGGCTTCTAACAAATTTATGGCAATTCCAATAATGGCAAGAATATTTAAATCAGAAATAATGTTGTGGCAAAGTTAACAGTAGGGCTATCAGCAAGAAAACCTATATTATGGCAGGAAAGCAGAGCTTATGAGGAGAGTGCAATGTTAATACCAGAACATACAGAAAGAGATAAATCAGAACAAAAACACTGATGTTCCACATCCAGGTTGGAGCTAAAACATTCAGTGATAACAGTAGTCTTGTTTCTTATATCTCTTATGCCAGCCATGCATGCGTAGGTGGGATAGGTGCCTACCAAGGTATCAGCAGACACCAAAATGCACCCTCTGTCTACTTCCAAAGGGAAACACATTCTCATGGTTCTCCAGTGTAAAAGGTAGAATTTTTGTCTAGACAAGTGAAGAGTTAAACATGACATATGAGAGTCTCCTGATGCTTGCACGATAAGTCACTTGGAATGTAGGAGAGTGGAAAATAATGGGTAAATGAAGCACCCTCTGTAAATCAAAGAGAACATTTGGACATTTTTAGTCAAGTTTTCTTAACAGTGCGAGTTCAAACTGAACAAGAAATAGCTTTCGGTATTTCAAAGGTAAATTTACTGGACTTGAAGTTATTTTTTGGATATACACAAACTAAAAACAGGAAAAAAAAGTGTCCTTTACCTCAAGTCTAACTAAGAAAAAAAACACAATAAGTAGAAAACCAACCTGAATATGTTGGGTCCAAACACAATACCTAGTGCTAATGGTCCCATTCTGTTTTGTTCCTCATGATTAGCAACTTCCTTCAAAAACTGTGAGAGGTACTTCAAGAGGTTGAAGTTTTCAAAAGGCATCTTTTCTACCAGACACTTCAATATCATAGCACATTCCTCTCTTTGATCTCCACAATCTGTAAGAAGGAAAACATCACATAAAGGAAGTAGCATTTCCAAAATGTCACTGCCATCACAAGAGTTCAGAGTTACTATAACTTGTGAAATCTTAAAAGTTTTCACCAGTCTTAACAAATTAATTGTAGTAAAAATAGGTCATGAATGTTACTAAATACCCCTTCACTAATATTGGTTATTGAATTTTGTGCAAAGCTACGAAGTAAGGCAGCCTTGTAAACACCAACCACTACCAACTCTTGGGCTATTCTTTTACCAATGAAAAGTGGGATTGAATATCACATTATAATACCTACATGGCTGAAAGGATGAGCTTGTTTGGTTTGATTTGTTTGTTTGTTTCATAGCAAATCCACATTAGGCTATCTTCTGCTTCCATTGCATGGAATCAAACCCCAGATTTTAGCATTACAAGTCAAAGATTTACCACTGCCCAACTGGGGGACAGCTTGTTCAGTGGCAGGAATCAAACTTGTGGCCCACAGATTGTGAGCTGAATGCCTTAACCACCAAGTCATGCCAGGCCCCTAATCAATCTTCAAAAATTACTAAAACCCATAAGTAAGGCAGTCACTTTAGCATTTACTTTACTTTCAAGAACCTATACTATACTATTTCCAATGACATGAGATAATGAAAAGATTAAAACAAAAATGTTCAATTTCCTTTATCATTTTGTTTAAAGATGACTTAAATTTAACATTTGTGACAGAGAAAAAAAAAAGTACACAATTTAGACACAGCTGTTGAAAAGAGAAGTAAACTGAAAATATAAAATAACACCAACTAATTAAAAACAAATATTACAATTAGAAATGGTACAAGTACAAAAGCAAAGGCAATTAAGAATACATCATTGAAAAAATAAAATTATAAGAATTAAAAACAAACAGCAGAAAGCATTGTCATCTATAAAATACTAAAGGCCATGTATAAAAATAAAAAATGTGGGTTTACAAATGCTCCAGCCAGTATAAAATAACTGTGTTGTCTCATAGAAAAAATATTCCGACTTAAACTATGCTGCTATAGCTTCACTATTAATATGCAATTTTCTGTTTTCAGTTCAGTAGATGTATGTTGGTCAATAATAAGTAACAAAATAAGGCTTATACATTACATCCCAGTTTTCTAAAAACTCTCTCTGAACATTTATCTACATTGTGTGTACAATAGTTATAAAAAAATTATAACTCTTTAAAAATTTCCAGGCATTCTAAGAATAAAGGCTTCACTTTTCATAAGCTCTTGATTTTCCAAAATATAGGTTTATATTTTAACATTTCCAATGAGAATGATACACAAATGTTGAAATTCCTATTGGTTTTTAGTGTAGATGTGCTCAGTCTGTATTTGTCAAAAATTTGTACATGTTTAGATAATAGCCTGGCTGGTCCCTTATATTTGAAAGAAATAACATTTGTGAAACATATATAACCAGTGGAAGAGGAAGGTGAAGCTTTGGAAATAGAAGCTTGTAATTGCCAAAAAACAAATTTTTGTAAGACACAGATAAAATAAAAATGGACTGTCAAGCTTGGTAAGACCAAATAGATGATTTTAAAACTTAAATGGACTATTTCTAAAAAAAAAAAGAGTTTGTAAAAACAAAAGCTGCTTTTCAAAATAAAGGATTGTAACAACATATGTTGCCTGTCAAAATAAAGGATTGTAACAACATACAATGAATGTAAAAACAAAGGATTGTAACAACATATGTTGCCTGTCAAAATAAAGGATTGTAACAACATACAATGAATGTAAAAATAAAGGATTGTAACAACATATGTTGCTTTTCAAAATAAAGGATTGTAACAACATACGTTGCCTGTCAAAATAAAGGATTGTAACAACATACAATGAATGTAAAAATAAAGGATTGTAACAACATATGTTGCCTGTCAAAATAAAGGATTGTAACAACATACAATGAATGTAAAAATAAAGGATTGTAACAACATACGTTGCCTGTCAAAATAAAGGATTGTAACAACATACAATGAATGTAAAAATAAAGGATTGTAACAACATATGTTGCCTGTCAAAATAAAGGATTGTAACAACATACAATGAATGTAAAAATAAAGGCTTTGAAGTTTTTCAACATAAAGGCTTGTAAAAATAAAGGCTTTCTTTCAACATAAAGACGTGTAAAAACAACGGCTGTTTTTCAAAATAAAGGTTTGTAAAAACATAGGTTGCCTGTCAAAATAAAGGCTTGTAAAAACAAAGGCTTCCTGTCAAAATAAAGGCTTGTAAAAACAAAGGCTTCCTGTCAAGATAAAGTATTGTAAAAACAAAGGCTTCCTGTCAAAATAAAGTATTGTAACAACAAAAGCTGCTTGTCAAAATAAAGTACA